CCCCCCCCCCTCTCACCCACCCACCTGCTCCCCCATTGCTGGCCGGCTGCTGCTGGTGTGTGTCAGGTCCCTCCTGCAGTACGGGGACCACACAGATGGACGCCTCGCCCCCCCTCAGTGTACTGTGTGGTATAGGTCACCTGTTGGTCGTCTTGGCCTGACTCCATCGCACTAGAGGCGTTGAAGCCGTGACGGCCGCTGCACCAAACACACAGGGATTGCAGCCAGGTGTGCACGGCTGTGTTGGTCGTCACTGTGTGCGCCGAGTCGGCCTCACCTGGTCTCATGGAACATGCCCCCCCTCAGTCTCAGCATCAGATGCACCGTAGACTCCTCCTGGATGTTGTAGTAGTCGAAGGTGCGGCCGTCCTCCAGCTGCCGACCGGCGAAGATGAGTCGCTGCTGGTCGGTCGGGATGCCCTCACGCTCCTTTATCTTCGCCTTAAGGTCCGTAACGGTCTCATGCCGACAGGCCTGCACCGTGATGGTCATGCCTGAATGCACCAGGAGAGTGGCACGCTTTCGGTTGCGGGATGTTCAAGGGTGCATACCATCAAGACGCTTGACGAAGATCTGCATGAACTGGACGAGGCGCAGCATGTCATTGTCCTGGATGCCGTAGAACGCCAGGGTCCGTTCGTTCTCCGGCCCTACCAGTTCTCCAACCGTTTGTTCTCCTAAAAGCACCAGCTGCTGGAAGGGCGGGGTGCCCTCACGGTGCTGTATGTCGGCCTTGACGTCCTCGATGGTGTCAGACGGGGCGACACACAGCGTGAAAACCTTGCCTGCATAAATACATTGCCAAAGATACAAAGACGAACGAATGACGAGGTCACAGAGCGATTGTGTGTGTCCGACCGGATGCGGCCTTTACCAGTAAGAGCCTCGACGATGACCTGCATGGTTGGTTTGTGCTGCGCCGGATGCTGTTGCTCGTCCACAAACATCACGATCTTGGGCTTTGCTGCCGCAGGCAGTGTGCGCACCTCGCCATCGATCCGCGCCTTGAAGCACCCATTGGCGGCCGCATAGACAGGGAGGCCGTCGAGCAGGCCAACTGCTTTGCTGCTCGTGGTGTCGTGTGGTGTGGGCAAAGGAGGGGGCGGGGCGGCCACTGACGGATGGGTGGGGGCGACAGGGAGAAGAACAGAGGAGGGGAGGCCACGTATCGGATTGGTGGGTCGTACATGTCTGTGTGTCCGTCTGTGTACCGGTGAGTGAGAAGTCGTCTCCCGGCTCGCGTATGTCCTCTCGATACTTGTGGAAGACCATGCGGCAGAGGTCCTGACGCTCATTCTCGTCCCTGAGAATCGCACACGCATCAGTGAGGGTCTCTGGGTGGTGTATGTGTGTGTGTGTGTGTGTGTATGTCTACCGTACCTAACAAGATGCACCCACAATCGCGTGGCCGATTTCGCCATGCGGAGAGACACGATGTCGAGATGCGCCGGGCAACTGTCATAGATCTCTGCACACAGGCACCCAGCCACAATACATGCACACACAGACGTCCATGTATCCGTCACCCACCCGCCCACCGCTGATGAGGGTCTCGACGAGCGGCCTTTGGAAGTGCTGATATCCCAGCTCGCCGAGGGACTTGATGATGCGGGTAATGTGCCGCACCATGACCACGTGGTTGAACCTCCGGGGGTACTCCGACTCGGCGGCACGCTCGACCTCACCGGTTTCGTCACACGCCAGACGGAAGCCATAGAAGTCTGGACGAAGCACACGACCAACAGCACAGAGATGACAGTGCGGATGTGTGTGGCAGCCCCTTCCGTGTCTGCGGTGTGTCGCCCGCTTGTTGCCTGATTGACTGACCTAGAATCATCTTGTACGCGCGAAGCACTCTGTCCTTGACCCACTCGTCCGTCGCCATGTACTCGGCCTCAGGTTTGGTCAGAGGCGGTGCATCGCCAGCCAGGCCCTTTTCACGGATGGGAAACAGCCACTGACGGACACACACACAACAAGACAGCGACCGTTCGTTGCAGTGACTGACGTGACGGGAAATGGGGATGCGTTCTGTCTGTCTGTCTGTCTGTCTGTCTGGCTGTCTGTCGCGCACACCTGAATGCACCCGAATAGGCGCCTCGCGAGCAGCTCGGAGTCCCCGCGACAGTCCGCCAGGATGGCCTCTATCTTGGTGCCGTAAGGCGTCGACGCGATGCGGTTGAGGTAGAACTGCAACACTGTCGTCGACTGGCCATCACGCTGACCCGGATAGCCACGGCGGTACCTGCACCAAGACGGTAGCAGCAAAAAGGTCGAAACAATGCCGCGCGGCGAAAGGATGGCACGGCGCTGTTTGTTGTTGTCACCTGACAGTGTCGCGCATTGTGTTGCTTGTGGTTTCAGGATGAGGAGGCCGCCTGGATGGACGTCTGCTGCAAGGAAGCTGCATGAATGAGAAAGGCAGAGAGGTGACGAAATGAAGCGCTTCCTTCGCCAGTGGATCTGCGTGTTACCTGCCGGGCGAGGCGTGTGGTTTTGGTCCGGAGATCTGTCTTCTGCAGCGACGGTTTCACGGAGCACCCTAGGTGGCCTTCTGCAGCGACCTCTGCAAGCTAAGCTCGCCATCCGCTGAGATCTTTCCAGAAGCAAACCGACAGAGAGATCCACAGGCTTCCCTCTTTTCTCTGTCCGTGCGTCTGTGTCCAGGTGTGACCGGCGAAGCAAATGAAAGGACGGAATGGAGTCATACGAGGAGAGCGGTGCGGCCGGGCGGATGCCTGCCTGCCTGCCTGCCTGCGTATTGAGGATGACGGACGCCGCTAAGTGTCTGCCTCATTGACAGACGAGGTAAGGGAACGACGGCGAGTCCATTCCTGCGCAACTGATGAATGGGCCGTCCTGTGTTGTGTGTGTCTGCCTCTCTCTCGTGTAGGTGCTGTCCTGCCTGCCGCGATAGCAAGACGATGACAAAGCGGGCTGGCAGATCGACCCATCGGTCAGTCATCGAGCACCAAGCAAGGCTGTTTCCGATAGCCTTCAGGGCCGGGGCTGGCTGCCCCGGCGCTGATCGATCTCCTGGTACCTGTGTCTGTCTGTCTGTCTGTCTGTCTATCTATCTGAGCAGGTGGCTGGCTGGCTGGCTGGCTGGCTGTATCTGTGTGTTGGAGTGTGGAGAGCAGAGCATGTGCCCGTCAACAGACCGGCGGACGGACGGCGGCTTAAGTACCTGGTGACTTACCTGGGGATGGCAACGATGGAAGACAGCTCGACACACAGGTGAATGAATGGAGACACCGCGGATCATGTCTGCAGCATTCATTGAGGCGAATGCGCCTTTTCATCGCTTCGGCCGTCCTTTCCCCCCGGCCTCATCCATTCCATGGAGGCAGCTCGCGGCTTTTCTGATCCGTGTGGATGGATGGCTTGCCATTGCAGATGGTTGCTTGGCTGGCTCGCGACTGCCTTATCGACCCCCAAAGCTCAGCATGCTAAAGAGGAACAACAGACAGACCGGGCAGCAGCAGGTCAGTCACTTGAACCACGCAACCGAGAGAGAGAGAGAGAGAGAGAGATAGAGAGAGAGAGAGGGCAAGAGAATGCAGGCAGCAAGCAGCCAGAGCCAGACGACCGATCGATCGCGTTGCTTCCCCTCTGTTTGTGTGTCAGGTGGTGGTGGATCGGCCGTGCTTGGATGGACAAAGCCTTGACGCGGCTGCTTCATTCACTCTTTCTAGCCAAGCAGACAAGGAAGCACGCCCCTGTCCTCTGTCGTTCTCACTCATCCAAGGAGGCGAGGAGTGACTCAACCAACGATTGGCATCGATCCCGCGGCAGAGTCAATGAATGCGGCCGGATTGATTCTGATAGACGAGTGATTGAGAAGCAGCAGCCGACCGAGAGGCAGCCGGTGAGTGAAGTTTCGTGTGTGTAACGTGCGTACGTACGGTGAATCACATACATACAGCGCATCGCCCCAATCACTACATACACAATGCGCACACATACATACGTACATACATACATACGTACCATGGTATACATAATACGTATACGTATACATGCATGTGTCTGTGTTCTCGTACGTATATGATCGATCGATGTGTGTGTACTTCTTGCCTTTCAGGCCTAGCCTTCGTTCAACCGCGACGTGTGTCGACACTGATGGATGCCGTTCCCTTCCAACATTGAGGACAGACACAGCAGTGAGAAGAAACGCAAACTCCTGAGTCAAAAGCAATCCATACCTCTCTCTCTCTCTCTCTGTGTGTGTGTGTGTGTGTAGATGAAGACTGGTCATGTGTGTTCGTCGACAAGACACTTATGGCCATCATGGCTTTACTCAGTGCCCATGAGCTTTGCACTGCTAGTGGTCTTTGCACGGGCTCGTGTCGCGTTGTCGTATACGTGCGTACACTACGTACACGAGCGAATTCTCCTGCGTGCCGAGTATGTGCGCAATGCTCTCGTTGACGATCTGCCAGAGCTTTGACCGTTCGCATCATCCAATGTCTCAAATGTCTTCACCTATCCAACAACCCAGGGCCTACAGACCCCTCGACTGCAGACAAACACAAACTTCACGGCTGCATTGACACGCTATTCATTGCGGCTGCCAGCAGAATCACGCGCATCGTCGCGTCTCAGCTTAAAAGAGCCTCTCTCGGTAGTCCTTGGCCGCTTTCTGACCGACATTTTCCACATCAGTCACACGCAGGAATTGCACAATTGCAATCCAATTTGTCACCTGCAGTTCTGCATTTTTGGCTGCCAGCGGTAGCGGGCCCTGTTTCGCTTTCGCTCGGCTCTTTGCAGGCTGGCAGACAGGGAGTTTTATCCGTTTGGCAGACATTGATGCGTGTCTCGCTTACTTGCGTGTGTCTCAGCGCTTCAAACTCGACAAACGACATAGGCCGCTGTCTCAAACGAAGGGCGCTGCTCTGATTCGCACTCAGATGATACAGCACAGACTCAAATGTTCTTTCGTATGTCTTCGCCGGATCCAGGAAAATGCCTTCAAAGCGAGAGTCTCCCGCCTGTATCTTCGTGTCGGGGGTGCCTATGAGAGTCCCACTTCCTGACCGCTTCTTCTCTTTAACTAAATACCCGTTCTTCAGTGCTGTAGGAGCACATGAATTCACACAAACAGCAGCAACCACAGTTGTGTTTGTTTGCCTTTCGTCACGGTCGTGTTTTGTCGTCTACAAAAATCCAGGAAGGCGCCCTCGGGGATGTCGCGCTCAAACGGCTTCAGCTTCGCCTTCAGCCATCGCCTGTCTACCTCCCGCAGCAGCCACTTCAGCCATCGCTTGCCAGCCTTGCGATAGACCTTCAGCACCATCGAACGAAACATCCTCTCCATCGAACGAAGCTGGGACCAGTAGAAGCAAAGCACCACATCGTCCGAAGATGTGCATCCGATTCGTTGGTCGTGTGTGTGTCCACCTCGGAATCAGTGAGAGGCGGTGGCGGGCCATCCACCGTGACAGGCTCCTGTTCACTCTTGTAGATGGCCTTCAGCCGTGGAGAACGTCTGTAAGAGGGCCACACACGAATCGAGCGGGGGTAATCGAGACCTGACACTACACCCACCTTGGTGTGGACTCCTTCTTGTCTTCAACAGCATCTTCTCTCCCCGTGGCGTGCGAGTCATCGCCACAAACGATGACGTCCATGCATTCGTCTGCCTGACAAGACATGTGCAGCGTATGCGACACGGCCTTCGCGGCGGCCCCAAAATCGTGTTGGGGCCTGCATGATTTGGGGCTCCCTTCTCTCCCCTCCTCGTTGACGCTCCCCAGCTCCCGGGGTGTGCGTGTGTGTGTATCTATGTGTTTGTGTGTCCTTCCCTGAGTCGTGGAAGACCGCTGCAGTAACCAACGCTGCAAGAGGCTGAGCGAAGAATGGAACCAAAACAACTTTCCCTTGACGAGATCAAAGGCGTTGCGGCCATCCTCACGCAGTACAGCCCACTCGTGGAATGTCTGCTGCGCTTGCCGTCGCACACCCCCATTGAAGGTACGTGGGCATCTTTCTGATGACGCCATGGGATTGCCGCGCCTGATGTGTGTCCATTTGCAGCAGTGTCAGTGCAGAAAGGGACCAATTGAGAGGGCATTTGCATTTGCACTTGGATGGCAGATCTGACGCTTCTTGGTTGATTGTGTGTGTTTGCAGCCAGCAGGCCTGCATTCCTCTGCAGGAGAAGCTAGGTCAGCTTGAGACCACCGTTTATTAGATAATTCTTCTCCTTTCATGTCGCTGCGGGCTCTTCGCTCCGACAAATTGGATCAGGTGTGAGTGAGCCGTCTCTCAACGTCTTGATCCAGTGAGAACAGCAACCCCACCGAGCACATGCACCTGTATTTCCCAGCGCATTGTTGTCCCCAGAAATATCTTCCCCGCGGTCTCGAGTTCCAGAAGAGAACGCTACGAGGAGGCGAAAACAGCAAAAGCGCTTCCTTACACTATTCTATCCTACCCAGGTGACATACCAAGAAAGACACAGGAAGCAGCACATCTGCACGTCTTTGTTTCAGGCGATGTGTGCCTCGAGTGCAGCGGTAACCTGTCGTATCGCAAGTGCATGGACGTCCTGATCGAGACGCCAGTTGGGCAGCTGCATGGTCTAGCGGTTCTTAAAGTGTGTACGCGAAACGGCTGCCGCTCAAGACACTATCAGAATGTAACAAACTGATTTTGCACTTCAGTCGGGCGCCATCTATTCTCTTCAATGCATCTGTGTGTGTCGTCACGGACTCAGTTCCACACCATCCCAAGGAGCAGAGATGAGGGGGGCCAAGATGAAGAAGCGGACGAGAAGGAGGATGCCAACGGTGAAGAGGATGACTTCGACACATCGGTGTTTTACCAGCAGCAGAAACGGTCGGTGTTAGAAGAGGCTTCCTTCAGTCACTCCCATTCTTTCTTAACTGTGGAAAGCCTTTCTACTGTGCAGCCGCCTCCACCTGTTCCCAAACGATTTGCAGGTCAGAAGCTTTGTGGCGCTCAGATGCATTTTTTCGCACCGTCTTATTTGCTGCTTGCCCGTTTCTTCTTTCTTCCAGACGATTTTCGGGGGATTTACTGGCGGAAAAGATCAGAATGGCAACCAAATAGAGCTGAGGTCTCCACAATGGCTGTGAATCATCGCATACTATGAATAGATAGCTTTCCCTTAAACCACAATGTCCACAGGCATTTCATGATCTCGACCAAGAGGGCATTTGATACAACGATGCTGGACCAACTCATGCTCTTGCAGCACACGAGGTAAGCAAAACGGAAGCAAAAGGGCCCTGTCTTCATGTCTTGACTGAATGGTTTGTTCCAGTCAAGTGTCATTCTACGGTCAGTGAGGATATCCCAGGCCGTGGATGGGGCTTCACATGCTTCTTTTTCCTCCCTTCAGGTTTTGCAAATGCGTACCTCTTCCAGGTCCGGACTGTCCCTCACTGGCCAGACAGTGAGACGAGAGCATTGTGTCTGCTTTCATTCCGCAGGATTGCCTGGAGGAAGAGTTTGTGTTTGGGCAAGTGCGGCGCACTGGGCTGTCAAAGGGCGCACTGCGAGTGCACGTCAGTCACTCAGAGACACACAAAGACGGGCAGAGTAACGCACCTTTTCCGTCTAAATGGATTGTTGCAGCTCACGAGGGCGTTCACATTGTATCGACTGGCGCGTTTCGCAGAGGTCAGTCAACAGGCTAGCAAAAAGATATGCACAGACACGAACCACATTTTTGGTGTCTCAGCGTCGGTTGAATCGGGCGACAGTCAATGCATGTCGTGAGCACGATTCCGCCAACACAGAGATGGTCAAGCTCATAGCACCAAACTCCTTTGTCAACATCGACATGGCAGTCAACATCAGCGACTTCCTCGACGCGTACTCACTGGTAGCGACTACTGGTGGCTAGAGTCAAGAAAGTTGATCCCTCCAAATCCGTTGTGTCCCTGCTTTGTCGATTGCGTGTGTGTCTGTCTGTACAGGACTTTGAGGAGCTGACTGCCGAGCATCAGTGCAGTCACGAGCACTGCAGCAAGGGTTAGGGAATAGATGGGTTCAAAGAGGACGAGCGATGTACCTTTGATGGGGTGTGCACTCAGTGGTTATTATCGATGGCGGCAGGAAGCTAACCATCCCCCGTTGTGCGACTGAGGGCCTCTCAGAGCTCTACAGCAAGGAGCTCGTAAGCTCAGACCGCTTCGATGATATTCTGCGATGCCTCATCTCGGATATCAGGGGCGGTCCATGCTGCTTCCTTGTCTGGGACGTCCAGTCAGTGGGTCCAAGCTTTGCGAGGATTGCCTCATTGTGAGTCTGATCAATTTATCTGTGCGTCCCTGAACCGCCATGAGTGCCTGTCTCTCGCCGGTAGGCCATCGAGATGTCGCGCCTTCAGTTGAATGATGCTGATGTCGACGAAGATGGGATGGCTCGAAGAGTGGAGAGGCTCACCTCCAAGCAGTGCCGGGTGGCCGAGGACGGCACACAGGTGGGGCGCACATACAGGGGAGGGAGTCGGCAGGCAGGAAAAGCCAATGACATTCGCGGAGACATGGTCGAGACATGCGTCCGGCAAAACATATGATGTCTATTACGCAGGAACTTTTCTATGACGTCATTCTCAAGGATCAAACGACAGTCAAAGGCGTGTCCATGGAGGAATTGATCGACCGATCAAAATACGTCGGTAAGAGGTCTGTCAAGCGGATGGTTCGCGCACACATCTGGCACTGTGTGTGTCAGGCGGCTGGTATGCGTTGAATGAGTTCCGTACTTCAACAACAACAAGTAAGGCAAAGCCAAGAGCTCACACGTCAAGGAGCTGGCAGGTCTCGTCCGTGAAAAGAGGCAAGAGATCGGAGTCTGATGCGTCGAAAAGACGACGAAGTAAGACACAGTGGAGCTGTTGTTGAGATGTCGATTTTTTTCTTTTCGCCGTTTCTCCAGCTGGCAGCCCAGGAAGGCGCGGCTCGGCAGATGACTCGCTTGTCCACCTGTCTTCTCGTGAGAAGCATAGAGCGGCCCACCCTGGCCTGATGCAATGTGTCTATCTCCCTTTGTCATCAGAGCTGGCCGGCATCGACAAGACAACAAATCTCACCGGCTGCAGGACGTAGGTCAATTGCGTCACTTGAAAGCCACGCGATGTTTCCTTGTCTCCATGCACGCGTCAGGGACAAGGAGAGCACAGACACCAACAAGGCAACGGCGGGAATCCTGGTCGCCATGCGCCCGTGCGGCGAGGTCCTGGGATTCTCAATGATGGCTGCCTCCGAATCACTCACGCAAGGTCGCGGAGAGACAACGATGCATCGACCACACATGTGTCTGTCTTTTGTGTTTGCTCAGCTCACTTCCTGTGTGCGGAAATGTACAGGATTGAAGCCGACATCTTCAGTTTGGTACCGTATTCTCCTGTCTATGAGCTTTCTGTCCTTTAGAAAACGGCGCCATCCGGAGGTGGAGTGCGTATGCTATGACAACGGCTGTATGATGGCAGCGTACGCGAAGAACCAAGCCGAGGTCATAACAGACGCAAAGCGAACAGCCCGACGTGTATATGTGTGGCTGTCTGTGTGTGAAGGCCGCTTACGCGACGGAGATGACCCACGTGCTGGCGGGCCTCAAGTACTGCCTGGATCGGCTGCACGTGTACAACCAGTGAGCAACCTCTCCACCAGTGAGGAAACTGAATGGCAAGGCCTCGCTGTGCTGTGTCTCATGTGTTCAGCCAAGAGAAATGCCAGGAGACGTTCGGACCTGATCGAGACGAGCTAAAAGACATCATGCAGAACGTCGACACGCAAGTGTGTGAGGTATGTAAAAATTTGTGCATGATCGTATTCAAAGAATCTTTGAATACGACGAATCGAGATCGGGTATGTATGTCTGTTTCAGCGTCTGTTCAGCTGGCTCAATGGTGCCCTTTGACACATGGTGCAATGGTGTGTCATTTGTGTTTTGGTCCTTGAACCCCAGGCTTCAACGACTCGTGGTGTCATCTGACCTGGGATCAGTAAGCATTCGTGTGCGGCAGAAGCTTGACAAGAAGGAAGACACACGCCCCTTGTTTCTCTCTTGCGCTCAGCCTCACCCTATTGCTCTTCGAGCACATGTAGGCGCCATCCATCCGCTCTTCCCTCTCTCTCTCTCTGTGTGCGTGCGTGCGTGCGTGTGTGTGTGTCCCTCAGGCGCATGCACTGCTTGTTTCGAAGACGTGGGTGGTGAGGGGCTGCTGATGAGAGCACAAGTGAGGGACGCCATGGCCATGTGAGTCAGCCTGTTTCATGCGAGACGCGACGATTTTTTCACTTTCCCATGTGGCGAGGCTTTGATGCGTCATGATCGTGGCATGATTGAGGCAGCTGGATCGGTCCATTGATACCTACCTACCGAATGTGTCTCAATCTACGTCAACGTCTCAACGCACACATCCAGCAAGAAGGACAATCCATAGATGCTAAGCGCGCTTGCATGCGCATGCCACCGACCACTTCGGCTTGCGACGGACCTGCATCAGAATCAACTCACTTGAGCAAATATCCTTCGGTCAAACCTACCGTGGCTAGTCTCTCATTGCCTGTCCGCCGCCCTCGCCCTCTGGGACTACAGAGCAACAATGAGAGCAGCAATGCACATTAATCGTCACAGTGCCATTCTTGCACGCACCATGATCCTGCTGCTCCGATCCATTCTCTGCGGCCGCCTCTACGACTGGCACCATGTCTACATCGTCTGCAGCACCTGCAGCACCTGCACCAGCAGCACCCTCACCAGCACCACCAGCAGCAGCAGCAGCTGGGGCGGCCGCATCGGTGTCGACAACACTAACCGGGCCAATGCCCACAACTCGCAGACATGCGTTGAGAGCCGTCTGGCATGACCTGTGCAGACAAAGAAAGTGCATACGCGAGGCCTCCACATTGTTGCGCATCTTACGTCTCCAGTAGCAGGAGCGCCTTGTCGTCAAAATGACTCTCCGGCAGCTCCTTCACCTGACAGCGTAGCGAGCGTAGCGAGCGAAGCGAGCGTAGCTGGTCAAAGTGGTCAAAGACTCTTGCTGTCCTTCACAACGCCCAAGCTCACCTCAGCAGGCGTCGTGATCGCCTCAGAGTGCACGATCTGCTGCCGTCCGCTTCCGGCATTCTTCCGTTTGACGACATACTGCATAAGCATAAAAACAAAACAAGCACACAGGCATGTGAGACTGAGACGGCGCGTCTTCTCTCGCATTCGTCACCCACCTGGTGCCCGCGCCAAGCGCCCTTGTGCACCTGATGATGCCGTACATAGACGCACACACGCAAGGCGCGTGAGGCTTGTCGTGGGCACGGTGATACCCCTCCCTTTCCCTTTTTACGGTAAGCGGCTCGTAGCTGAGAAGGAAGCCCATCCTCTCTGAAACGAAGTACACGGACAGCGAAAAAACCCATCATCGACACGCGACACACCTCCCTCCTCTGTCCTTTCTCTCTACCGGCAGTGAGGCGCGAACTCTCGGCGCGATACAGCACTCGCTCTGCACTTGCCATCTGTGAAGGTGCAACACATGCCTCACTCACGACTGGTCAACGGCGCGTGGTAGGCATCAGTACTGACCTGTTTGGCGAAGAGAAATGTCACCTCGTAAGGCAAATCCCCGCCTTGCTTCCGCCTTTCATACCGCCTCTCGCTCTCGCTCCGCTGTCGGACCTCTCGCTCTCGCTCCCCTGTCGAGGAGTGGGCTGAACGGCAACGCCACCACCAGGGAAAGGCTGCAGTGGACGCCCCGCCCGCCACCTTACCTTGGCTGCGTGCTCGTTTCTTGCCAGCGGCCGCAGCCCTCGCATCTGCATGCCCGTCAAGACAGCATAAAGTGAGCCCCGTGTGCAGTGTCGGACACAGTCTCGAGAGCGTTACCTGATCTCCCGCCTCGGTTTTTGGGGGCCGGTTTGTCCCACTGGACCTGAGGGATCAAAATCAGTGAGGACTGAGTTGAAGTCTCTTGATGCAGCGCTCTCTCTCGCTGCGGGAGGCTTACGACGCCATTTTCGTTGCACTTCAACAGCTCCGGCTGCAAGAAATTGACGAATGTAGTCAACAGGTGTTTGTCCCCGATGTTGTGACCTTTGTCTGGCTGCTTACCTCTGTCATGTCGCGGATGAAACCCGGAATGGGGCCGAACCTGACGATGGGAGACATGCCACGGTGCTACAGGCTCACGTGTGGGCACTGGCCACTCACATGAATGGGCGCTTGTCGTCCTGATGGCACAACATGCAGGCAATCCACACATTCTCCAAATTGAGACACACGCGATGCATTCATTTGCTACCTGCTGCTGGAGGATCTTCCAGTACTCCATGCAGCTGTCCGAGTCTGCCACGATAGAGAATTGAAAGGACGGGGCTTGTGTGTGGTTAAGCTCCCCTCGGACCCACTCACCTAGGAACCGAAAGCGGAAGGACAAATCCTCACTCAGCCCCAGCATGCGCTTCAGGCACATGAGGAGTCCATCCTCGGAAAAGCGATACATCGGAAACTGCAGAGTACCATCACAATCAAACGAAGAAACAAGGAGATGCCATGGCAATCCACCCCTCTCACCGGCTTCTGATTCGCCGTTGCGCCGTTTCGCCGCTTCTCAGCTAGACAGACAGACAGACAGACAGGCAGGCAGACAGGCAGACAGACGTGAAAGGCAAACGAGCAGCCTGAAAGTGTGAATGGTCACCGTCGACGTCTCTCGAGGGCGGATACGACTCAGCCGAGCTGTCGAACACCAACTTCAGAATCCTGCAAGGCAAAGTGCAGCAGATAGTACGGTACGATGTTCGTGCGGATGGGTGTCATCTCTTTGTTTGTTCTCGTCTCCCTTGTAAAGTTGTACCCGCGGAAAAGCTTGTCGTGTCTGACTAGTTGCTTCAACGCATCCAGCGCGTCCACGCCAGTTCTGATGCCCGGCGCGTCCGCCCCGATGGGCGCAAACCTAAGTATGGGAATGCGACTGAACGTGAACATCTTGTCGCGAATCCTAGAAGGAGGAGAAGACAACGTGCATCATCCAAGGACGTGCATATGGATGGTCGTGTGCTCCGCTCACCTCATCAAACGCACTTTTGTTCAGGGTATGGGCAAGAGACACAAAAGCCGCCCGCATATGACCATTGTGTGCTGTGTGTGCTGTGTGTGCTCAGCTTGGTCGAGAGTTCTTGACGACTTACTTCTCATAGCATGGGTCGAATGCTGCTCGCCACTCACGCCAAAGAGGTCCTTGCTGACGTGCTGCTGGGCCTCATTCCTGTCACAGCACGACACAACAGCTCACGCGTCACGTATCACGTCGCAGCCACTTACACAAATTCTGCAAGAGCTGTGAGAGTCGGGCAGTCGTCCTCATTCCCAAGATTCCGTTTGGATCTTGGGTGGACAGGACTTTCTGTGAAGATCTTCCTGCCGCTCTCCCCGAACCGAGCCTCCTGTAAAGCAGACGACACACATGTCCATGCAGTGGTTTGGATGTGGATCAAGGATACCGAAATCTTAGCGATGAGTATGCCGAAGTACAGGTCTCTTGTCCGCGCGTCACACAGCTGAGTCCGACAGCACACACACACACACACACACGCACACAAACCACACTGACTTTGTGTGTGTACGGAGAAAAGGAAACATCGCGTGTTTGGTACTCGTGCGAAGCTCTGGAGGAGTGTCCGAATGCGGACGTCGCCACCAGCCAGAGCAGCGAAGTCGAGTGTGGGCTGCTCACTGCTGCTTCGAACAAGCCATGCCATCCCTGACAGACAGACAGACAGACAGACCGACAGGTGCACCATGGCTACAAGACGATGTCTGTGCAGTACCGGCAAAACGCTGGAGGGTTTCGGCCGAAAGCGGTGAGACGCTTTCATTGTAGACCTAATACATGTACATCCGTACCCACACAGGGAGGGGGATTGAAGTGTGATATTGATGGTGTCACTCTACCTGATCAGCTTCCTTTCTTTACCTGGTTGAGGCCCTCGAACTTGTTGTTTGCGACTTTGATCAGGTTGATGATGCTGTTGACGTATGCGTTGGTGTCTGCCTCCTGGAACAAGAAACAAGGAAACGTCGCGTGTGGTTGGTTTGCAGATGGATAAATCGATGGATGGATGGCCATAGATGAGAGTGTAAGATGTCGACCTGCAGGTGTGCCTGAAGAGGGATTCCATGTAAAAATTAATTGAGACGGAAAAGGTGCGTTACTGTGCCCGTCTCTGTGTGTCTCTGAGTAACTCACGTGCACTCGCAGTGCACTGTGTCTCTGTCTGTCTGTCTGTCTGTCTTTCTTTTTCTTTCCTTCTTGCCTTCTGGACATGAATGCCCTCGTAATCCATCTGCACGACGCGGCAAATGTCTGTGGCCATGAGTGAATGTGTGTGTGAGCTGTGACCTGAAAATCGCCGCCACCGAACGTGTCGAAGACATGCTTCCTGCACACAAACACACGACTCATCCCACGCCATGAGCCCTTTCGTCAGTCTTACCCGCACACCTTGACACCACGGCCGAGAGCCGTCGCCCCTGGCTCACATCGCCACGTCTCGAACATCGTGTGCCTTGGATAAGACACAAGCCAATCAACTATCTACTGTCGACTCACGTGCCACTTACTGGAGGTACACCAGCAGCGGCACCTTCTGGTCGGCCCACGCCCTCAGCGGCAGCGCAGCTCGGATCAGATCTGTGTGTGACAGAGAGAGCGAATGCCAAGCACATGCCAATGTGTGTGCGCTCCCACTGATGCCACCATCGCGCACCTATGTTGGGCATCAGCTCGAGCAACGACTGTCACAGGCAAAGACGCAAAATGACAAAAGAGAGACACGTCAGAGACCGAAAGGTAAACAGCAGGTGAAATCACAACCAAGGCACCTTCAGCTCTCTGTAGTCCTGGATCCGCTTGTACACCAGATGCCGCAGTCTCGCCTGGTTTCCGATACATACGTGCCAAGCGGATTTGCGTGTGAGGCGCGTGTCATTCATGTACCTTGTCGATGCCGTCACAGAAGGATTCACTCGGTAATGGGCATTTCTTGGTCCTAGGGATACCAACTCCTGTGGAGGCACACACAGAGGACAAGTCCGCCATGTACCGGTCGGCAAGTCTCACCTTCTCCGCTCTGCTCAGGGTGGCTGCACGTATGCACCAGACACACCCAGAGAGATCCACACACGGATGCGAAGCGTCTCGTGTGTGATGTAGCTTCGGGTACCTGGCGATGTCTTTGCCACATCGATAGCACAGCGCCTCAGTTTGCTGAGGATCACATGAAAAGACGCAGCTTCCTTCGTCCGTCTCTTTCCACCAGCATGTCACCTGGTAGCATCGCAACAAGACTTTCCGGAACTTGCGGATGTCTCTCAGCTCCTGAGGGCCCCCACAGCACCACATACAAACACAGCTGTCAGCCCCACAGTGTGCACGCGTGTCTCTGGTACCGTCTCGTGCAAACTTGGGAGCTGCTGACTTCGTTCGTCTACGGTGGCCGAGTCCAGCACCTGTGCGTGGGAAGGGAAAGGTAGATGTGATCGTCAAGACACAGTGAGAAGGGGTGCGGCTGTCAGCTGGCTGGCTTACGATGGATATGAGCCTCCAGGCGAGACTTGGGGTCGACTCGTTCGCCCTCTCGGACGCAGGCTCACCCTCCTGAACAACAAACCCATCAACCCACCAACCAACCAAGCACAGAGAGAGAGACAGCCAATCTGTGCTTTGAATGGGGCCAAGGCAAATATCACCGCACCTGAATGAGCTGGGCCAAGGCTTGATCCAGGAAACATATCGCAGCTGCGGTACACATTCACACACGGCGGCGGGCAAGGCACAATGCAGACACACACACAAGGTGCTTTGTATGCGAAAACGACAGGCGCCCACCAATGCATCTGCCCGACGAGAGCCACCAGATGATCTGTTTGGTGCAAAAAGTCACGCATCGGTCCAGATGGTGTTCGTTGTGTTGTGTCTGCGTACATAGCTCAGTGTGCCGCTCTGCCAGCCGTCATGCTTGGCGCGGGCCTGCTCGTCCTCGTTGAGGATGAACTCGAGCAACCTGTTCGCACACGGCATGAATGAACGTGTGTGTGGTGCACGAGTGTGTCTGACATACGTACCATCTCATATCTCGCTCGTCACGATCAGACGCAGCCTTGTTTCTTCGTGGGGTTGCGAACTGTGCGCCATACAGCCTACATGCATACATACATACATGAATGGGACATTTATGAGTGCATTCGCATGCCAAGCAGTCTTACTCGCGCTTCTCCGACACAGCCGCTGGATCGTCGTCCGGGAGCTGCTGACGATGGAACCTATCCAGCAACAAGGCCAGCTCTTCGACGCAAGCCGATCTCAGCGAGTCCTGACAACGACAAACAGCCTGCCCCCCTCCCAATACAATGTGTCTCAGCGCACCTGCAGGCACAACGAACGCGCACGCACAACGAACGAACGGCACGCAGAGAGATGTCCAGAGGGAGAGAAGGGGGTTCGTGATTGATGTCTGTGTCTGTGTGTGGTCTCCGTGCATGTGCATGTGTATGTGTGGTCTCCGTGTGTGTGCATGTGTATGTGTGTGTGTTGGACTCCCCATCCAAATCGGATGGATGGATGAGACATATGTGTCACGTGTACCTGCGGGCGCAACTCTTTCTTGGGGAGTTCGAAGTCTGTGGTGAAGGTTGAATCGTCCAGGCTGACCTCTCCCACCAACTCATCGATCCGCACGCGGCCCTCCTCCTGACCCAAGCCAATGAGAAATACAGTGACGTCAGCAATGCCAGATGCACACAATTGCCCCTCCCGTCACTTACCTTAGCTTGAGACTTCGTTTGTCGCTTTATAGCTCTTGCCAGTTGCTCGCCGAGCTCCTGCAGCTTCCTGTGTGCGAACAAGTATGTCGTCTGTCTCGTGTGCGTGCGAGGCATGTAGGGATCCACCGTACCGGTCTACGCCCGTCCTGGTCCGCTCTCGCTCTTGCCGATCTTTGATCCTCTCACACATGGCTAACTCGTCCACCACTAAACAAGGCAGTTTTGACATGCAACTCTCATCCGCCCTCCCTCCCTCCCTCCCTCCCTCCCTTGTTTGCTTGCTTGCTTACGTTTTGAGAATTCCCTGCTCAAATTCTGCAGACGGTTGGGAATATCGTCGAGAAGAATCTGAGACGGTCACGAGAGCAAGTGCCATGAGCCGTCGTGGTGACATGTTCTCTCGTGGCTTCAGCTGACTTTTACCTTCTTCACTCCGAAGTACATGACATTAGAGAGGTCCTCCGAAGTCCAGAAAGGTTGGAAGTGAGAAAACGGAGACCTGCAGACAAGAACGGAGTAGCGTACTACTGCATCCACTTGACAGCATCGTTGGCTCTGCGCTCCTTACTCGGGCTCAACCATCAGCGAGGAGAAGCCGGAACTCATGACCTGACATCAGTCAGACAACTCACATAGACGCAGCGATAGTGGCCATACACATGGTGCACATACGCGCGTGGCTCTCTTGACGAGCTCGGGACGGCCCGACACGTGCCCCTCTGGCGGTCCAGAGCGTGCCTGCCGACTGGGCTGGTCACCGCCGTCGTTGTCGGCACCCGACACGCCACTGCCCTGCCCTTCGCCGTCATCATCGTGGAGCTGCACACAAGCCAAGTACAAAAGACATGAGTCTACCTGGCCACGACGCGACGCACCTGTTCTAGCTCTTGCTCGCCGTCTCCTTCACGATGATCGTCTGCCATGGCATCGTCATTCGCTCTTGCACGGCTGAAGTCGGATGCTGCGTCCCTGGTCTGGGCGTCGTTGCCTGACGGGGAGCGACACGACCGCAGAACGCCCAGAAGAGATTAGTAGGGATGATGAGTCGTCTTACGTTTTTTCCTCTTCTCCTTCTTGGCGGCCTCGTGCGTCTTGTGTTTGCCTGTACACAGCGCAAGACGGAGAGGGTGGCTGCAGGTCTTGTCGCCGTCATTTACGCGACTACCACGCGACGCACGGCTCTCGTCCTGACCCGAGCGAAGGGTAAAACCACACATCGACTCAAACATATCAGTGCCTAGAGAAATGATAGGCACACCTGGCTTTCAGCTTCGCTGCCATTGTCGTCGTCTTCGTCTGCCGCATCCAACTCCATGTCATCGTCGCTTGGTGCTGCTGCCACGAAAAGAGCAATCAATCGCACCACCTGCGTGCGCCACTTTGCTTACCCTTCCTCCTTCTACCTGTCCAGAAAAGCAAACAGTCCAGAGAAGACACATGTCAAAGCGCACCTGGAGACAGACTGCAAAGGCCTTGTTACCGTCCGCCTCAGAGTTGACCTCACAGCCGTTGTCCGTTGCGTCGGCACTGCGCTCTTTCTGTCTTTTCTGCCCTGCCTTGCGGCGCTTGTCGGCCTTCTTGTCCTCCCTCTCGCGCTGCCTCTGATCCGCGACGTAAGCCGGCCACTCGCTCTCTGTTCATTGACAGGATGGATGAGACAAACAAATGGTTGAGTGCTATCCGTCGCCAGCCCCACCTGAAGTCAGCTGCACACATAGGCAAGGAATAGACAGGGGTGGGGGCATTGCATGTTGAGGAGTGTGTGTTCTTTCTCTTGCTGACCGGCCACAATGACGTCCCTGCCAGCTCGAGGGCCTGAAGACAAAAGGCGGTGCTCAAAAAGCTGTATGGGCTGGTATGCGCTCACGGCGAGTTGTTGCTTGCGCAGCTCATTGCCTGCACACACACACCCCACACACACACACGCAGAGCCGCAGTGGTGTGAGATGCTCCCCAAGGCACTGGAGTCGCCCCCCACTCCGCCCGTGTCGTTGCCTTTGCGTCCAGGTTGCACGAGTGAGTCTGCATTGACGAGCAGGGAAGATATGGGGCTGCGACTATCAAGCCTCTGTCGTGATGATGCTGGAACCGTTTGCAAAGTCCGTCTTCTGTGGCGGCTGCACACACATCAGACGCAGCAAATGCGTGTATGCGGCAGTCATGTATGTGTGTGTGTGTGTGTATGTGCGACTTCACCTTACCCAGGGTGGGTACTGCCAGAAACACATCTGCAAGAGGCAATTGCGAAGGCGAGCCACACAGCCAAAGGAGGTGGACTGCTGTGTGGCTGTGTGTGTTTGCTGCGTTTTTGCAAGTTGGTCACCGCGTGGTGCTTGTTGCATGAGCGGCAGAATGGCCCAAGACCTCGATTTTCGCCAGGCCTCACAACAAAAACAAAACAAACATTGCGAAGGTGAGGCGCGAAGCGCCGAGCCGAGCCTCACCGCAGGTGGCTCAACCACTTCTCCAAACTGAATGGACAGTAGATCGACAGGTGACACAGCTATTCCCCTACGTGTCATGCCGTGTGTGTATCATACCATGACGGACTGCCGTCTGTGGGTGCATGCGCGAACATCCACAGCGTCTGAAAGAGAAAGGGGGATAATATGCAGCCTCCGCTGGTTTAAAGTAGCCACTTACTGAACAAAGACGACAGACAGAAAGTCAGAATGTGATTCCAGTGCTGTGTCTCTGTCTGCTTGGGTACCCTCATAGCGATTGTTGCCCTCCTCTGGGTTGTATTGGCACCCTGGGGCGAGAGTATTGAAGTGGACTGCACACAAAGGTGGGCGGCATGCACATAATCGATGGAAGAACCAGCTCAGTGTCTCACCGAAGTCAGGCCCCGTCAGCGGCTCGCCACAGACAATGCAGTCCCTGACGCACAAATGCGACACAGATCAATATGTAGAGCCCGTCACTTGTATGCATTTGTCCTGTCATTCTCTCTTTCCTGTCCCTGCATTAACAGAGAGCCACACAAGACGGTGCAGAGAGATTGCTGGGTGCGTTCCCATACCCCTCCCTACTTCCACAGGGGATCCTCATCTCCCCTCCTGCGCTGAGGATCTTGGCGGACGCACTGATCAGGCGTGAGACACAGAAGCGCAGCAGCCTTGTGTCAGCCACAGGGCTCTCTCTCACTTGGTCGCACTTCCTCCTTCCAACCCCTTCGTGACTAGCGAGCGAGACACACACACACACACACACACAGAGAGAGAGAGAGAGAGAGTGAGAGAGGGGTGGTGTGGGAACCAGAGTGTGTGTGTGGGTTGGTGGCTGACCTGCACATAATTGTGCCGCTGCAGCCTGGTTCTCAGACACACAGATGACACATTCGCAGCCCACATCTTGTGTCTCTTGCTTCTATATGTGTATCTTAGGATACCCGTGGTGTCGCATGCAAGATAGACGCTCTCCTCATCTGCCCAAGAGCCAGTCAAGACAAGAGACGGGATGTGTAGGTCATTATCATGTTACCGCGATTGACGCCACAGTCTGTGCAGCAGTCGTCATGGGGGAACGACTCAGCGTCGGCGCGACAAGAAGGACAATACCACTGAATCGGAAAGAGAAAGGCTCTCCATCAAGTATCTGTCATTCCTCGCGCTGACCATGGTAGCGCGGTTGGTCTCTGGAAGCAGCCAGAAGCGTAGGACACTGTTGTTGCCGGGCACATCAGCCAGACCAGAGTGCTCCACACAATGACCTGAGACCACAACGATTTCTGGCCGCCTGCCTGCACCTGTTTTCCTTGTGTTTCACCAGTTTTGTAGGTGGGCTTGGCGGCGATGGCGTCGTACTCCTATCAAAAATGCGCATCCCCATCGATTGTGAGCGCATTGCCTGGATGTGCCGTACCTCGACAGGCATGTGTGGTGGCTTCGCGTGCACTTCGCCGCAGCAGAAGACAACTGCGGGGTTGGAACAACCTGGCCACACCACCAATGCATCGATTGATGACCATCAGTGTACCGTACAGTGAGACACGTACTGATACACATTTGTGTGTGTTCTTTCTGGCCTTGTACCTGGGTGACAGCACTCGATCGACTCGATGCTGGCGTATGTGCTGGGGAAAATGAGAACCTTTCGGTCTACGATCTGCAAGGACCGACAACGAAACAGGTTGGCAGAAACAGATGGTGAGTGAGTGAGTGTACGACAATGCCGTGAGCCCGTACCTGTCTGCCGGGTAGCCCTGCCGGGACACTTGAATAGACCATCGTCTCGGCATTCCAGTCGCCTGCAGACAAAGCAGCGTCCCTCTCTCTGTCACGGTGGATTGAACCGTACCAATATCGAAAACCCTCAGAGCGTCGGCTGCATGCAAAACACAGAGACAAATGCAGTCCCTTTTCTCTGTGTGTGTGTGGCGTACCTCGCTCTGCCATCGCCAGGGCTTCCTCATTCAGCTGCACTGTCTCTTGTCTCGCCCGCAGGTCGTGGCGTATTTCCTCACACGTCTTGGCCAGATGGTGAAGTGTGTCGGGGATGAGGTCGGACAGCTTCAGCTCACGGCACTCCAGGGCGAGAAGGTTTTTGTTGGTCGGGGTGTAGAGCTGCGGGGGGACAGCAATGCACTCACTCGATGTAGGTGTGTGGCTGCCTGTCTGTGTGTGCAGTGCTTGTGTGTTTCGGCGACCGACCGACTGACAGAGCTGGACCACCGACTGCTCCCTGCGGAAACAAACAGACGACGACAATAACAACAACAACAAGAACAACAAGACAGACAAGTTGATGGATCCATTGCTGGAACAATTCACCCTGGGCAATTGAATAGACATTGCATCTTGGCAGCGCAGCTTTGGGAGGGGATGGGCACAGCCGAGTACCGCGAATCCTGTGTGTGACACGGAAGACGCCCTGCAATGATTGTGTTCTTCCGTGCCCTCACCGACATAGACTCACCTCCTTGAGAATCTCATCGATGGTCGTGTTGTTCTGTTCGGCATCTGAAGCCTTGGCACGGTTCACTTCCTGGCAAGCAAAGGGCACACACACACACACACACACACACACAGTCGAGAATTGCGAGCGCATGTGTAGGTGCGACTGGCTGCTCTCTGACCTGCCCCAGACGGTTCTCTGCCTGAACCTCCTCGAGCCGCTTGTTTTCGACGAGTCGCCGCAGGCAGCTCAAATGCAGGACGACCGAGCACGGACCTGATTAATGGAATCCATCCATCCATCCATCATTGTCTTGTGTGCGCCGGTGTGTTACAGTTTGAGATGACCTGCACACAACCAGCCACAGATCACTCAAGGAGCTGCCTTCCTTTCCCTTGTCAGCTCACGAGGTATTCGGACGTGGCATCCTCGTATCTGAGACCCGGGTTCGCCTCGAAGGCGTTCAACGCCCCTGGTAGCCGCACGCACACACACACACACACACACAGGAAATATCCATCTGGTTGTGGCAAGCTGATATCCATCTGCTTGTGGCAAGTCTGGTCGTTACATCCACAGATGACACATGTTTGGTGTCTCGGGGGGACAGCGAGTCGCTTGCCGCCATGGACATCAGCCCAACGCCTGCGCCCGTCCGGCAACGAGTCGCCCGCCGTGAGCTCCTCGGCAAGAAACACCAGCATGCGATCAGAGGCTGGAATGCACACACACACACATCGACACTGGAAATGCGTCGGGACGGCCGCCTCTGCCTTCCTCACGTGGCGCACTATCGATCTGATTCACGTGCAGCTCGTGTTGACGCGATTGCTCGGCGCCCTCTGCCACGCCCTGGCCTCGGACTTGGGAATCGACACTAGACGCTGGACCAGGGGCCGCTGAGGCCGAGACGCTCTGGTTCGGGGCCTGCGTTGGCCAAAACGCATTCACACACAGGAGTTTTCTCGCCTGTCCATTGCATGCAGCCATTGCTCACCTGCCGGTTGTCGTCCCTGGCAGCCGCTCTCAACGTGGGCACTTCCGGGAGATTGATATACACAACATGGAGGCACAACGCGTTAAGAAGGACCACTGTCTTGCTGTCTCTCTTAGACTACCGATGACGAGTTGGCTATCATGAGCAATGCCGCACGACCGCAGGCCTTTGCAGCCCTCCAGCACCATATTGGCCGGCTTGACGACGACACTGATTTGGCTGGCAGCGAGGCCGATCTTTTGACACAGCGACGCCTTCAGCTCATCGGCCGTGACGTCTCGACGCGTCACAAGCCAGTGCTGTCCGAAGCCTGCCGCTGTGCTGGTCACAACCAGCCGCATGAGCTCCTCTGACGCACCTGCATCGTCACAACGTACAGCGCATGTGTCAGTCATTCATCCTCTCGTCTGCCCTGCCAACTCACCCGGCTGTGGGTCGTTTGTCTGCTGAGCCTGTAGGGCAGGAGCTGTCTTGCGAGACATCTGCATGAGCGGACATCCACCGTGGGAAGCGGTCTGAACGAGTACTGCACTGAAGAGAGAAGAGAAAGGATTGCCATGTCCTTTGGTCAACATGGCGTCAGTGGTGGTGTTGCCGGCTTACGTCTGTGGGATGGGTGTGTGGCCATGTCTGTGTTTCGCCGATGGTCCACCGCCTGCACTGGGGCCCTGGCCCTTGTCAGATGGGATACCTGTCGGCACACTCTTGCCGCACAGGGTGAGATCGGGCTTGCTGTGTGACTGCAGAAAGACAATAAACACTCATTCACAGCTGTGTGTGGCGTCACACGCTTCTCACCTGAGGGCGACTGGCGGGAAAATGGCCATGAGCGCCGGTGACACGTGGGCGAGGAGGGCTCAGGTTGACGTTGATCAGCAAATGATCCTTCGGCAGCTTCCCGTCAATTGCCGTGTGGAGGGACGCGTCGCCGTCGATCTGGTGCAAGGGATACATGAGGAAGCCCAGCTTGCCCGTACCCCACTGGTCACATGCACCTGCCAGACAACATACACATCCAAACCTACAGATGCCCCGAGTGCAATCCTCCATTCGTTCCTCTCTCTCACCAGCTTTGACCGTGGCCCTCGGCGGCACAATGTATCTTATGGCAGTAATGAAGTCCACGGCGGGCGGCTCGCGGTCGTACCCTACCACGGTCATCGTGATGGGGCGACTCAGATGGGTTGGAGCTGCTCCTTGGCTGATCTGCATCCGCTTGTCCTCCATCCCTGCCGCTATGTCGAGGAAAAGGGTCTCGCACACCTGCAAAGAACACGGCCACAGACAAGGGTGACATGCAATGCAGGCATGGTGCTTTCTTGACAGCCCTGGGCCTCTCGTACCACTAAAGGGGCCAGGGGAGCATCATGGGTGCTCGCCGGTCCAGCAGTGTCACTGGTGCCCTTCAGCTCCATCGTCAGCTGGTCAGACGGCCCTGCGCGCACCTCACGCGACGCCGGGCTCTTGGTCCCATCACCACACACGACGCCACCCTTGTCCTGACGGAACAGCACAGCAAGAACGGCACGTTGCAAGGGCCCCGTCATCGTCTGACTTCTCTCTCTCTCTCTCTCTCTCTCTCTCTCTCCCTGTCTGCTCATTCTGCTCACCTGCAGCACATGGTGTCGACTGGACTTCTCGACCAGCATCTGTTTCAGGCTGCGATAGTCCAACGCGCCGACAATGTCTGCGTGGGGGAGAGAAGCACGAACAGAAATAAGACGACCTGGCTCCTCCAACCCTCTGTGTGTGCGAATACCTCCTACGAGCGTCCTGGGCGGCCACGATATCCCTCGCGGAGGCGCCACAACCACCTGTACGTGGACACTCACACTCTGAACCCCACAGCAGGCAGGACCCTACATCCGAGTGGATATGTCAAATTAAGCCGCTGTGCCCACTCACAATGTTCGCTTCCGACTCATCGGAGGAACAGGCAGACGACAACGGCACCTGAAGGAAATGGGAAAGAGGATCATACCGGCTCCATTCACTTCTCCAGCATCCTCCTTCTCGCCCGCCCCTCACCGTTATGTGCCCATATGCGATGATGCTATCGGTGTCGGACGGCCGACCACTGTGCGATCCTGCAAGGGGCAGAGAGCTCGGTACAATCATCGAGCCAGAAAGGCCGGACAAACGCAAACATTCGAGGTCATCCAGGGGCTCCCCATCTGCGTCTTGGTCGCTCGATTTTGACCAACGGAAGGCAAAGATCTTGCCCTCCCACAGCACATATGGGCTGTCCGTGCTGAGCATGGCTCAGGGGAGCCTCAGTTTCGATTCGATCATTTGCGAGCTTAGCTCTCGCCGAATTTCCTGGGGCCGGCTAGGTAGGCTAGGAAAGGTTGTTGAGAAATGAGCGATGAGGGGATGGGCGACGTAGGGGAAGGCACCTCCGCCGCCCCCGTCGCCGCCGCCGCAGCGGCAGCAGCAGCGGCAGCCCCGATGGACGTAGACAATCTAGATAATCTGAGGGCGGGACTGGAAACCGCCGGCCGCGCCGCAAGCCTTGTTGTGGCTGACGTGCTCCGTGAATTGAATGTGAACCCAGATGGCAGTGACAAGTTTGGTGACATAAGAGGTGCGCGTGCACGGCTGACCACCCATTGAATGTTCACTTGTGCACCGTGTTCGCATGTCTCTATGTCCTGCAGAAGCTCTGGAGGATTCATGGAGTGAAGGGGGTGAGAGATGAGATGGCTGGGGGATCACATACACGCACAAGCAACCAATTTCTGCAGGGAACCAATCGCTGGGTCAGCTTCGCATCTCGTCGAGCCATAAGATAGGATCACCGGATGGTGGGCAAAGTCTGACGCCCGAAAGAATCCTGCAGATGGTGAGTGGGTGGGTGGGTGGTGGTGGTGGGAAAGGATAGAACACAGGGACACGGAGGAGCAGGCAACAGTATCTGTCGACGGTCTGTGGGTGGGCTGCACGTAGGCCACAAAGGGACAGGAGTTGGGCCAATGGTCGATTGACTACTTCCAAGAATTCTCGCATATCATGGTACGTTCGTATCAGCCCAATGCATGGCTATCAGCCCAATGCATGGCTCTTGGCTGTGTCCCTTCACACGTGGCCTGGTCTCGTCTTCAGCTGATGGGCTCTGCAGACGGCGATTCATGGCTTCTCCTGGAGACAGCGCAGACCGGCGCCATGATAGGGCCGGACCGCATCAAGAGGGTCGTCAAGGACAAGAAGGGATCGGGTACCCAAACGCTCAGATTCATACGAGGCAGCTGTGATTGCCTTTGTGCGCGTCGGTGCGTGTGTCAGAGTTGTGGCTGTTGGCCGAGTGCATCATCCTTCCGTTCAGTCCCGTGGTGAGAAGGCAAGATACAGCAGGCCACCAGACAGACAGACAGGCAGACAGACAGACCCCTGCGGGCACTCCATAATTTACTCTCTACATCCGATGTCGACTTTGGGGGTGTGGGTGTCGGTGTGGTGCGGTGTTCAGCCAGGCCATTGGGCCGTAGCATTTCTCTATCGCCCCTGGTCAGATGAGCACAAGTTGCGCTTGGAAGACATGCCGACTTTTCTCCTTTCCTCAGGTTGATGCTGCAGTACAAACAGCGGTATCATTCGCGTGAAGGCGCTGCGGCCACATGTGTGGCTGTGGCGTCCCTGGTGTCGTACATCAGGAAGTGGATGGTACCGAGTGTGGAGCTGCCCAACCCCTTCAAGGACACCAAGGAGGGCAACAACATCTACGCGCAAATGGTTTGCACGAGTCGAGAGGCGCCCACCACGATACACACGCAACGACACGGGGAGAGCATCTGTTGATCTGTCTGTCTCTGTGTCTGGATTATTCTATCAGAAGCGGATCCGAAGGCAGATGACGGGTGAATGGGGCAGCACAAGAAGGCTTACTGCTCACTTCTGTGTGTCGACTTGTGTTGTTGTCTGTCATGCACTGCAGGTCCCGACGAGGGCGCTTCACTGCTGTCGTGCTGCGACTCCAACTCAGAGGAATATACTCACGCCTACACACGCACCTGCACACGCAGAGACATACATGCCCAACTCGCCGTCTTTGTCTGTCAGGACGCCGACAGTGCAATCGAAACCTCGTCAAAATTCATGGGTGATCAATGACACAGACAGACACACAGACAGACATGCTTCCACCCCACGCACGCACAGTCTCTCTACTGTCAGAAATGCGCACCAAACTTCTAGAGAGATTTAGATTGGTACGGGGGCAGCCCGCCAGTGGGTGGGTGTCCACGCGTGCACATATCTTTGCAGGAGTTCGAGTTGCTGAGGGGCCACGCTCGCGAGCCGGAGCAGTGGCGCTTGGGCGAGGACGTACACACGCACCAGCCAGCCATATACGAGACGCACCGGTCGACACAAGAGGTCCTGCAGTCTGTCCGCTTGCTTTGGTCAGGTGCTGACATCGGGTCTGATAGTGAGCCCCCAGCAGACGCGTAAGCAGGAACCAAAACACATCTCATCTTGGATGGTGGGTGGCTGTGTGGCTGTGTGTAGTGCCCGACTGTGGCGTGTTTGTGATCTGCGCCATAATGACAGTGATGCTGCTGGGCGTCAGACACAACGTAGCCGCCATACGGGCTCTCCTGGTTGGCGGCAAGGGCACCGAAAACATATGGTGGATTGGGGTCACCTTTGTGTGGGTGCGTACAGAGTCAGTTTGTGCATCCCTACCGGGTGGGCGAGCACATCAAGAAGCCCCCAAAGAAGCCGAAGAGCCTCCCTTGCCACTGGGTCCACAACCATCAAATCGTCCAGAACAAGTATGGGCGAAGAGTCCCCTCGGTGTCTCAGGTCTCAATCTGTCTCTCTCTGTCTTTGTCGTTGGTGTGTGGGTCAGGCGGAAGGACTTGGCGTTGGCGCTGTGCATGATTAGTGCCTGGAATCTCTTGCACTCGGCCGAACGTAACGAGTCCAACTGGAACATGATCAAGGGTCAGCAGGGACAGACAAGAGGAAGCAGACAAACAGAAAGAGCGAGACAAAGAAAGAGAGGTTGCAAGCTGCTGTCTGCCGGTGTTCGCAGGCCTCCTGACAAACCACCTAGATGATGTTTGGCAGATTGGTGCACAGAAGAAGCGGCGCACAGGCAAGCAGCAGGGGGCCAAGCCGCACACAGAGGGAGAGGGAGAGGGAGAGGGAGAGGAAGAGCGGTAGTAGAAGGGGGGCTTCGGGGGGTGGGGTGGGGGGTGGGTTGGCCGCTGATTTGAGGGCCGACGACCTGTGCATGTTTGCCGGTGTGTTCCTAGTCGAGGGACTCGGTGTGCGGGCGTGAGACGTGCGTTCATCAAATGCGGCTGTCTTTCGGTGTCCACACTGAAGTCGAACACGCAGATGTCACCACGGCGCACACAGAGCTTCTCTCTCTACCCACTGCCAGCCTTCAGTCGACAGACGACTGCAGCCACTCGCCGATGTGTAGCTACACGTGGAAATTCATCCATTAAGTCACGCAGGCAGACAGACAGACAGGCCGTCCATCCATCCAGCCAGCCAGCCGAGACACGCGCGTTCCCACAAAGTGGCCTGGCCCTTCAAAAAATGGGCATGCTCAGTCAGGCGCGCAGCTCAGTGACTTCTCTACCGCCAGAGCTACCGAATGGGAGCGGGCCAGCCTGGCTGCCCGCTGCCTGCACGCACCCATCATGGTCAACAACAGGGGCATTAGCAGACAAATCAAGCATACAGAATCGCAGGTGCATCCATCGGCATGCAGCTCAGGACGCCAAGGGGGGCAAGGTGCGCCAGTGCAACGTGCCGCGTTTGCTCGTGTTGGCCTCCAGCTGGTCCCAGTAGGTCTTCAGCACATCCCCACAGTTGGTCAACAGCTCCTCAGGCTCCCATGAAAGGGATGAACTGGAATCTGCAGACGCGCCACACACGTCCAACGCAAGACCGAACAGACGATGCGTGTTTCTCCGTCTTGCGTATCGGGCTTGTTATGTCACATCTTCAATCTCACCTGCCCACTTGATGCAGAAGTATTTCCTGCCGCACGGACGAACCTCGTGAGCAAGGATCTCTCGCACCTGTCAGCACAACACGACACAAAAGAAGGCGCATATCACCTGCTTACTGGCCGATCGGTCGATGTGTGACCGTCCGACTCTTTACTTCATATTCGCCCTCTTCAAGCTCATCATCACTGTCGTGCTCCATCCCCCCACCGACACCAGATGCCGCCCCATGTCTGCCCCGACCCCCTCCGCCCCTGCCGGCACGCGAGCCACGCGGACGGCCGCGGGGACGACCACGCTTCACCTGGCACACCAACCAACCGACCAACCAACACGCAGAAAGGGATGGACAGCTGTGACAGTAACCGATGGCCGTTGTCGTGTGTGGTGTGGGTGTTTCTGACCTCTGCTCCATCTCGCGCTATCCCTCCTCCTCCCTCGTCTATCTGGCGCTTTTTGCCGCGGCCGCCCCCTCTCCCGGTGCCGCCCACCCCAGCGCCCCTCTGCATGCCGCCCGGAAGGTGAAGCTGGGGCCGGCCTGGCCGTCGCCTGCCCCTCCCTCCCCTTCCCCCTCTCGCAGCCACGTGGCCGGCCAACTGCTGGTTCTCGTCCATGTGCTCATCGTGCTCATCCTCCGCCTCCTCGTCTCCAGCTTGGTCATCGCCTTCTGTCGGCCCACCCTCCTCTCCCATACCTTGGTCAGCGATACCAGCTGAACGAGGCGGCGGTGGCTCCTGTGGCGCTTGTTGACCATCATGCTGCTCGCCCGCGGCCATCTCACCATCATGCTGCTGTTGCTGCTGCTCACCTTCCTGGCCACCGGCCTCTTCGTCCTGCTGCTGCTGCTGCTGCTCCTGGTGGTGGGGGGCGGCAGCAGTAACGTCCTGTTGGCCATTTTGTTGCTCGCCGTGTGATGGCTCGTCCTTGACTTCGACGGCCACCGCCGCAGCAGCCGCGGCGGCCTGCTCGTTCGCCGCTTGGGGGAGGGGAGAGGGGGGAGGGGGAGGGGCTGCTGCTGCTGGTGGGTCAGCAGAGCCGAGCTGCTGCTCATCGGGGTTGTTGATGTGTTCTTCCGCCCTGATGCGTTTCCTCGTGATCATGATATGGCCGTGCTTCCATCGATCGCCGTGCTTCGCCACAAGGGCCTCAAATATGTCGCTATCGAGCTCCTTGAGCAGGCCAGCCGATTCGATGCCGAATGCGATGAAGGTCTCGACCTCCTCCACCAAAATGCCGCGGAAGAACACGGGCGCAGCCGCTATCAGCTGGCGGGCCGCACTCTGCTGCCGTGCTTGATCTTCGTCAGCCATCTCAAGCAAGAAAGAGACGAAGATCAAGCAGGCGAGTTGGTGACTTTCTTCAAAGCAGGCAGCTGCATCGGCGACTGTTGCTGGCGGCTCCAAATGTCATCCTGCCGCGCTCCATGCCGCACCTGGATCTTCCTCTTCAAACGGTTTTACGGACGATGGGAGGAAGGGATGCGATAGGGGAGCGCTGTGTCATCGCTCGGCTTAGCTATTACAGCGTGATGTCGTGTCTGCCGCCCATAACGGGCTACACCATGTTTTTGTTCAAAAAATGGAAGGAACACAAGGCCAAGGGGGAGCTGTCTGGAGACAAGGAGGCCGACATATTCCACCAAGTCGACAGTGAGCCATCGGCATTGCCACAACTCACAAGGCCAATGGATGGATCTCCTCATGTGTTCGTTCGTGTCTGCTCTCGTCCTGTGTGTGTGCAGAGGAGTGGAAGGACACCCCTGAGGCGGCCAGGCAGGTACGAAAACACATGGCATCTCCACAGGCCATCCCATACCTAGATCTGCAATGTGCAGGGGCACCGCAAGTTAGCGGAGGACAGCAGATCTCACCTCGTGTCGGTGACGCCGGCCTTCCAGCTGCCCCTTCCGTCCGCCCTGGATGTGGCCAAAACGGTGATAAAGGGCAGGGAGGCCATCAGCAGCAAGGGTGGCAAGAAGGCCACTAAGAAGGACAAGGGGGGCGGGGAGGGGGAGGACGATGGCGAGGGGGAGGGGGACAAGCAGGAGAGGGGCGGGGTGGACATATTCAGCGCTGACTGTCTCGAGTATCTAGTGGTCCGTCAGTCAGCACCCATCACAAGAGGAGAGGGAGGCAGGGAGGGGGGCATGATGGATGGAACACTTGTCGATATGATGCGTGTGTGTGTGTGTGCGCGTTTCAGGAGTGCAATCCCGAGCGGACGACGTATGAGTTGTGGCACGCCGCCAAGAAGAAGTGGACCAGCCTGCCCAAACTCGTCAAGACGGTCAGCGGCTGAGCGACGCGCCAGAGAGGAACAACACAAAACACAGCACCATGCACTACAAATGAAATCATCCCACCTGTCTGTCTTTGTCTTGCTCCCTCCCCTGCCCAGCGTTTCAACAAGCAAGCGGAACAGATGAAGTCCGAGGAACACGTGAACAACCACGAAGAGGCACGCGCAAAATCAGGTAGGTACCTATGACGGAGGAAAGGCCTGGGCGGGCAGGCAGGCAGGCGCAAGTGAGTGACTGGTTGGATCCAAACCCTCGATGGGCTGATTATTTCTTTCACCCACCCGTCGCTAAGGGCCTTTGGCCAACCGTAGATCAAGCGAGTCCTGGACTATGTTGGTATCCTTGCTGCTAGATGCGGGGATGCTTGGGGTCGGGACATACTCACACCCTCCTGCACTGCATGCTCCCATCCATCCATCCATCTATCCATCCATCCAACCACCGACAGACGAACATATTGCTTCTCCTCTCTGTGTGCAGACGAACATATTCCTTGTCCCTCTCTGTGTTGCCGTCAGGTCGCCCAGGGGCGCGTCAGGGGAAGGGCAAGGGGCAGGCCAAGAAGCTCCGTGGCGGTGGCGACAGCGAGGACGAGTACATGGATACCGATGATGACGATGACGACGAGGCAGCGTATGGCTGTGCGGCGGATGAGAAGAGGCCTGACAGGGGCGCCCTGATGAAAGCCATGGCGGCCCAGCACAAGCACAACAAGGCCAAGAATAAGGAAGAGAGGGAGAGGATCAAACGCGAGGAGAAGGAGAGGCAAAAGGAGAAGGAGCAGAAGGCCACGGCGGCCAAACACAAGGAGGAAGGGGAGGCAGCAGCAGCAGCAGCCGCCCAATCCAAGCGAGACGACGATGGGGAAACAGACAAGGTGGGCGCCACACCAGAAGGCACGGATGGATGCGCTCATGCGGCCATCTCGTTTTGTTTTGTGTGCATGAGTGCAGGTAGGTGTTGGTGTGAAGCAGAGGGCGGCTGGTCAGGCCGAGGGGGGCGGGGGCGGTGCTGAGGGGGCGGCTAGCAAGATGGATGAGGATGACGATGACGACGACTCGGAGCCACCCATCAAGAAGCGAGGTCAGTCTGCGTGTTCGTGTCGTGGGACTTTGCGGACGCTGGCTCACTCGGTGTGTGTGTGTGTGTGTGTGTGTGTCAGGTCGCATTAAGAGGAGGCTTACGTAGTGACTGTAGGTAGCGTCGTAGAGACGCAAGGGTAGAGATCCGTCGAAGAGACGCAAGGGCAGCGGAGGAAGACGACGAATGACCTGTGTGTCGATAGCCAGCTGCTGTGTGTGTATGAGTGAGTGTCCATGTCGATGGGCGATATTGGGATGCATCTCGCCAGCTAGTGCGTCTTTCGTGAGGTGGTTGGGGCTGTGCAGACGTGGCTGCCTGATGGTGTGTTGTGCCGGCTTATGAGCTGATCAATCTCCTTGCTGTCCAGCGTGCGGTTGTCTTGGACTGCTTGCTCCTCTCTGCTCCTCTCTGCTTGGCCACGGTGAGATCTCGGGGAGCAGAGAGGAGGAAAAGTCCTTCAGGACAACCGCATACTCAACAGCCAGGAGCGTTGAAGGGATGACCAGATGATCTGGTGTGGCGTGCCATACAGACGTGGCGGGATGAATGGATGGACGACGGAGAGGACTGTACCATGCATTCATCATATGACATGAGTGAGTGATTGGTCTCAATGTATCCCCGTCGATCTATTCGCCGTCTCGATTGCGGTCGACCTCCGCCGCCTCCTTCTCTCTGAGGAGGAGGAGATAAGAGGTCTCCCTCAAGCACCACAGCAGATGGATCAACACAGACGCTGCCGTCAGAGCAATCCACTCATGCCATGCACCACACACATCACACACATAATTCGATTCAAACCAGCCCACGCAGCCATCCCCTCCCCCAAACTAAGTCTGCAGCCAGGCAGGCCACTCAGTCGAATACTGCCATCCGTCCATCCATCCATCCGCGGACACACTAGCATGCCTCCGCACCACCACATCGGCCTGGGATGACGCTCCAGAGGGGTGGTCGGTGTGATGGGTCTTGGTGTACACGCCTTGCTCAGTCACGGTCGCTGCAGAGAAAGACAGACAGACAGACAGCCAGACAGAAAGAAAGAAAGACAGACAGACAGACAGAGAAGCAGAATGAGCGCACATTGAAGCGCATGCACATGGATATGACGTGTGCGCGAGCCAGACCACCGACTGACACCTTGTCCGTCCCCTATCTCGCTGCTTGCTTGCTTGCTTGCTTGTGTGTCTGTCAGTGTGGTGTGTCTTGTGTCAGTAAGTCCCAGATATATTTCAAGCCAACTGTGTGTGTCCTCAATGAAATGATGGCCACAACGCAATCATGCCGACTTGGAACGGTCCGGCCGCCCGTCGCGCTCCCTTGCTGGGTGACAAAGCGGAGACACACACACAGAGAGAGAGACAGAGAGAGAGGTGCATGTGTGGATCGCGTTTGACTGTGTTTGCGTTTCTTCTCACCTGTGTCTGTCTGTCTGTCTGTCTGTCAATGGTGGAAGGGAAGGGCATCCATCAGTGTCGACACACGTGGCGGTTGAAGGAAGGCTGGGCCTGAAAGGCAAGAAGCAAATACACATCGATCGATCATACACGTACGAGGACACAGACACATGGATGCACGTATACGTATTATGTATACCATGGTACGTATGTATGTATGTACGTATGTGTGTGGGTACGGATGTGTGGTGTACGTATTCATGTGTGTACGCATGTATGTGTGTGCATTGTGTATGTAGTGATTGATTGATTCGACGTATGTATGTGATTCACCGTACGTTCGTCACCGCCTTTCGCTCGGCTGCTGCTTCTCAATCACTCGTCTCTCGGAATCAATTAGGCCGCATTGACTCTGCTGCGAGATCGATGTCGATCGTTGGTTGAGTCACTCCTCGCCTCCTTGGATGAGAACGACAGAGGACAGGGGCGTGCTTCCTTGTCTGCTTGGCTAGAAAGAGTGAATGAAGCAGCCGCGTCAAGGCTTTGTCCATCCAAGCACGGCCGATCCACCACCACCTGACACACAAACAGAGGGGAAGCAACGCGATCGATCGGTCGTCTGGCTCTGGCTGCTTGCTGCCTGCATTCTCTTGCCCTCTCTCTCTCTCTCTATATATATATATATATATATCTCGCGGCTGCGTGGTTCAAAGTGACTGACCTGCTGCTGCCCGGTCTGTCTGTTGCTCCTCTTTAGCATGCTGAGATTTTGGTGTCGAT